TGAACCTCAGCATGGGACTCTGCAGCACGCTGGGCCAAACTTTTATTTTACGTACATCAGTGTAAACCTCATTGACCCAAAAGGATTTATTCCAGCTTTACACAGCAGCACAAGTGAGAGCAAAACCAAACCCTTTCTGTCTCGGACAAGATAGGCAATCAAAGTCTTAACTATTTGCGGTCATTAAAAATCCCACAACGTTCCTGTTTAGAGTAGGGGTGTTAACCCATTTGTCCTGGCCAAATTCCAACCTGGGTAATTACTGTAATCTGCCTGTTTAAATTACCCCTGCCGTTTTAATTGGATATATTACTTCTCTTGCTGCCTACACTGTGATGTAATACCATTGTGTGTTATTAATCAGTTACCAAGTTTCATCCCAGAAGCAGCCGCGTTGCAGTGATAGGTAGAAAGACTCATTCCCTCCTGGTTATGAGCGTTCTCCGTTACGATGTAAAAAAAAACCCACATACACTTGTTTTTTTAAGTGGCAGACAAGCTAATATTTCAATTTAAATAAACAGCTTTAATATGTGGTTTTCCCATTTGTTTTTGAAGACTATGAAGTCTGACTGATTATACAAGCATAAGCCACCACCCTGCAGCTCTTCAAAACGTTCCTGGAACTGAAGGTGCTTTTTTGCCCATCGAAGTCGGGAACTCTTATGTATTTGTATTTGTTTTTTAATTTTATTTCTTTAATGTTTGACTGTGAAGTTACAGTTACTTTGGGAACAACTGATCTTCTAAGTATGCAGAGGTTCCTAAGCCTGCAAAAGGTGAAACTTCCCGTTGATGTGTGTTGGCCTGAGTCAATTGATGTCCAGTGGAGCTGGCAGATTTGTCACCATCGGGAAACTTTGTAGGAGTCATTGAAAGTCCTCAAGAGTAGCCCTACAGAGGCTGTATTTCTGAGATATCATCCTACATATTTTTGCTTTCTCTCCATCCTCCTGAAAATGTAGTAAGTCAAAGCAGATGAGATGAATGGCCACCACAAAATGTAGACATTCTGGGGTGAAAAGCAGCAATTGGCAAGAAGGAAGGCACATCCCTTCTCATGTCATAAAGTGAAAGATGTTTGCTCCCTCCAAAAATCCCTGTCACTGTTCCTAAAATTCAGGATCATCAGACTCACTGCTAATGGCGGCTAAGAGCTCCACAGGACAGTCTAAGCGTTCCTCCTTCTGTGAACAGAAGGTCTTGAAGGAAGTGTAAATTCTCAAAAATTTTTCTTTAGTTCATCTGTTATGGTGGGATTTACCTGCCATAACTGTTGCCATGAAGTTGGGTGTCCTGGCTTCCATTCTAGTCCTTGGACAGTGGTAACATTACAGAAAGTAATGCACTCCAGTTGGCCTGGTAAGGAGCAAATACATCGTAGGTGCTTGCTGCGCTAACAATAGCGGGAGGTTAGCTGTCTGCTGTAGGCTGGAGACTTCAGATGGCTAAAGCAAGGTGAGATGAACTATGTCATAGATACATAATTCGCCCTGGGCTCATGCAACTCCCAGATATGGACTTTCATATCCCTAACAAAGCTTTTACTTTTAAATTCTCCTTTAGTTTAGATCTGCCTAATAGTAAGGCCATTATAGCAGCAGGACAGTATGAGTTTGGGAACTTGACAGGAGCACAGGCACTGGCTGCACCTTCATGTGGTGGCACTGCTGTGGCTGGTTGCAGCCAGGAGGCAGTGCAGGAGAGGCTGTAGCGCCGCAGCAGTTCTGGAGAATAATGAGGTAGTCACAAAAGCAGCGCTCGCATAGTTTTGGAGGTTATTAGGACCCAGAGGCACACATGTCTCTTGAATCATCCATTTCACACACAGGATATCTGTCCCCTGTATGTTTATTTTTGTTATGATTCAGCTGCCTGCAGGTGAGACTCGCATGGTTTGGCATCTCCAAACCAGCTAACCTAAAAAAAAAGGGGGGGAAAGGAACAGAAAAGTCTGGTGGGGCTAGCGTCTCCATATTGCCTAAGGACATCTCATTGTCATGTTTTCATGATGGAGGGTCCTTCTTACTGTGCAGTAGGGTAGAGGGATCAGCTTTCTGGAGAGCTGCATGAACCTTAGGATACTGCCACCTCTTAACACCCACCAAAGTATTTTTTAGCCCAGTGGTCTGCAGACATCCAAAGGCAGCCAGTAAAAGATGCTGTCTGCAAACCTCCTGTGCACACCCTCCTTCCCTGGGGCAGGGAGAGGTGGGTGTCAGTAGCCAGCAGAACCAGAGCTGACTTCCAGCTCTTACCCAGTGAACTGGTCATGGTTATATGGGAAAGCTGCAAGTTGGAGAAACGACCATGTTTTTTTCATGCACTGATGGGTAGCATGTCCGCTCGCCTCCAGAAGCTGCTCTATAGATGCACTGTCAGCTGCAGCAAGGCGGTCCTGAGGCTTGGACAGGTCAGAAAGCAGCGTCCGGTGCCGCTGTGCGTGAGGCAGTGCAGGTGAGTCCGCAGGTGTTAATGCTGCTGCAGGCAGCACCGCAGCGGATTGCACTTGAGGCTCGCATCCTGCGAGGTGCAGAGGGGGGATGCTGCTGGAGCAGCTACTCCCCTGCTCCACCTGCCGCTCTCCCGGGCTGCATCCCACAGAGGCACCCGCAGGGGCTCCTTGCACAGCTCAGGGAAACAAGCTCAGCAACAGTCCCCTTCATTCAGTATCTGCAGCTTTCACACAGGGAGGCGGGGGTTATTTCCCCCCCGTGTTTTGTTGTTAGTTTTTTATCCTTTTTTTTTTTTCCTTTTAATGAATCAGTCCCTGGGTGAAAATAATGCATTTGTTTAAACCTGATATTTAATGTTGAGCAAACTGCTCTTCCTTTGTCTCTTACTGTTTTGTTCATATTTTGCTAAGAATCTGCTATTCTACACAAGCATTTTAATAAACTGTTTGTTGTTGTATCCAGGTAACAAGCATGGTAAGTATTTTAACTAAACCAAGTATTATGTACCTTAGCTGTGCTTGGCAGAATTTTTGGCTAGCTTTTCCTGTACTTTCAGCCTGTGCTGTTTCTAAAGGAGCTATTCAAAGGAAGAAACTGCTCACCTATAGTACTACTATATACGAGCTTTAGAGGGAGCATATGTGCAAAGTCATATATCATATATAAGAGCATGCATCTCTTGCCAGCATGCTTGCTACTTTGCTTGTAAAATAAAACCAGAAAAAAACCAAAAAAATCCTTGCTTAATACTGCTTGTGTTCCTTCATTCTAAGTCACGTGCCTAAATATTAGCACTTATTAATACAGTACTTCTGGATGAGGAACCCCACTTTACCAGAGAGTAACAGTCTGTTGTTTACTTATTTTACCTGATCTAAGATATCCACTTAGTTAACTCTGTTGCATTGAGAGGCTTTCCTTTTCTGTTCTGTGATCATATGTGATTGGCAGTGACTAGGACTCCAAGCGCTGCTCTAATGCAAGTAATCGATAACAACCCATCTTTTCCTAAACTTGTTCCTGTATGCTTGAAAACAGCAGAAATTTTATGGCTGATTGATTGTTTTCTTTGGGAACACTGTAAATCAGTACAATACCACAATTGGAAGTTTAAAATATTATTTACATTTTTGTTACCTAACTTCTAAAATACTTGTCATAAAGCAGAATCCAAAACGTTTCTAAACCTGTAAGCATGAAGAAAAATCTGTCATTGTTTGCGAGTCAGTCGCAATTCTGTGTTCTCATTTTACAATGTAATACAAAAGGCAAACTTCTCTTAGATCTAAATGATAGAGCTCAAATCTCAGTGCTCCCTGTCCTGCAGGCAGAGCCTTAGCAGCAGACCGTGTTTAGTTCAGCCTGATTTAAAATCAGCAGAATTTGCCCAGATAAACAAGTGGGCAGTAGTTTGCTCTCCCAGAGCTTCCTGCGTGTTGGCAGAGCAGACTGTGAGAATTCAGGTCTACCATGCATGTCTGAGAGGAGGTTTTGCCTTGAGGTAGTTTGAGTGTTAGCCTCCGTGCTGTATTTTTTTTTTCCTGCATGGTTTGCTATTTTTGCATTTTCTGTGTGGCTTTTTAAGTTTTTAGTTATGTGCTTGTAGCTGCAGTTATTTAACATCATTTGTTGTGCCAAATGTTTTAAGACTCCATGTAATTGTCATATTAAAGGATCAGACAGCAAAGGACAAAGCACTCCAGCACATGGCAGCAATGTCATCAGCTCAGATAGTCTCAGCTACTGCTATTCACAACAAGCTGGGCCTGCCAGGAATTCCCCGTCCTACATTTCCTGGGGCACCTGGGGTAAGTTGTTAGCCGAGTCCCAAAAAAATCCCTGTATTCTCTAACAATGTTCAGTAGAAAACTAAGGCTGAATGAATGGATTAATGCTTTCACTTGTGTTTGCAAAAGGAATCATGTGTGTTCAGAAATATCCAAAATCTTTCAACAAAGGAAACAATTGTGGGTCTGTTTGTTTGTTTTTCCTCTTTCAGTTTTGGCCGGGCATGATTCAAACGGGGCAGCCTGGATCCTCACAAGAGTAAGTCTGAAAGTTAAAATATGCTTCTATATGCAGTGTGGGGCTGGCTTGTGTACTTCACTGCCTGAGGATATCAATGAGGCAAGAATTTGCAAATGTTTGTAAAAAGGATAAAAAGATAGTTGTAGGAAAAGGAAGAGCCTTTACAGTGATGTGAACTCACATTCAAAAAGTTATAAGGGATCCCAGAACTCAAAGCTGAAGCTGAATACCTAATGGGCACACTCCTTTTTCTCTCATTGCATGGCAAGATGCAATGATAATGCCAGGGAAGCAGCTGCTAAGGTTTTGCCTGTGAATAAGTTTCCAGCACAAATACTTCCATCCTCTTTTGAATATATGAGCAATACTAGAGGCAAAGGGGACGTATTTTCCTGCAGGGCAGGAGGTGACTGCATGAGGCCCATTAGTGGTCAGTGGGGTTACTGCCCTTCGACACCATGGTAGCGACAGCACCATATGGAGAAGGAAGCCTTTGCCCCTCTGTCAGGTGTTACATTTTCAGCCCCGTGGTGGTCTCTGGTGCAATGTTTCCCAGCCTTATTTTTCAGCTTCTCCCCACCTTATTCTCTTGAGATCCATGGGAGTCTTTGTGTCCCTGTAGCCCAGTGTCCTCTGGATTTATTTGGAGTCAAAGCAATCACTATCCATGTCTGCTGCAACACTTGCGATGGGGGGGGTCAGGTTTCCTGCTGGGTGACTGAGTGCAGATAAGCTCCTCACTTTAAGATGTTGGGTGTAATTCTCATTCCCCCACCTCTCTATTACCTCTTCACTGTCTGTCTGTTAAGTATGCTATGCAAGCAAGAGGTATGTTTGTGGGTAAAGGTCATTAACTATGTATTTTCTTATACTATGTGTCTCTAATGGAATTTACTGTGGATGGCATGGTGTATGATTTTTGTGTAATTCTCTATTCCAGTGTAAAGCCATTTTTTTTTTTTGTTAGGCAGGCCTATCCTATACAGCCATCAGTCACAGCTCCCATTTCAGGTAATTCTTCCATTTATAATCTCCTTCAAAAACACTTGAATTGTGTACTGAATGTGATGTATTAATTCCTGAGATGGACAGAGCCACTACTCCATATCTGATGTTCCCTGTAGCCAAACCAAACGCCAGTCCCAATGTCCTATTACCTGATTATATAGGAGGGAAGATCATTGGCTTTGGGGTTTTTTGTTTTGTTTTGGTTTGGTTTTTTTTCATTTTGGGTAGGAAGCACTGATACATACGCAAGGAGTTGTGATATGTGATCTCCAGTCAGCATTCCATATTGTAGGAAAATGCTTTGTAAAAAATGAGTAATAGGATGCATGTTTCTTTTTTAGTAGCTAAATCTTGCTTCCATCTGTAATGAGAATATGCCTTAATTTATTTTAAAATGAGGCTAAAAACTCTTCCAAAACCATATATGTTTAGCCTTAAGTATAAAACTTCGCTGTGTATCTGGTTGTTGATAACTCTTCCCCTCCTGAAGGTCCTGCTCTGCCTGGTACCACTTTGATAAGTACCTAAAGTTTATTCTGACTTCCATTGCTCAAATTGATCAAGCCCTTCCCATGGCTACTTCCCTACTCCTTTTCCCAAGTTGGTTTCATGGCTCATTTCAGGAAAGATCATTATTTCTTTGCAGATGATAACTATCTTTACGTCTCCCTTGCCAAATGACACCATGCTTCTGATTCTGTTTGGACTGCAGTTTTCTGACTCTTACCCAGTTTTTTTATGATTTTCTAACTTGCTGCTATTTAATGCTTAAAACTAAGGCTATCTTTCTGCATCCCTGATTATTTCCTTTTTCTTGATATTCCTAATTTACAACATTATTTTCTAAGGCAGACATTTTGAATCATCTTCTTTTATTCTTCCATATTTTCTCTCAGAATAGGATTATTAGTATTTCTAAATCAGTCAAAACTCATGCATGAGTTTTTGCTTCATTAGAATTCCTATGCATGTCTAACCAGTCACGTTTATAATTCTTTATTTCATACAAGCCTCACACCTTCATTGCCTAAATTTGAGGGTTGGAGTCAGGTACCATACTCCCATTACGGGATGTGGACACACGCGACCCATGACCTCTCCCTGATTCGTAATCTACTTCAGGATTGTCTTTGTTTTCTAACCTTTGGTGCCTCTCCCCTGCCTTCCTTGTGCCTGCGTCTCTCCCAAGATCAGTTTTGCCTTCGAGCTGCTGCCTTTCCCTTCTTCCTTTACTGTTTTGTTTCCTTCTCATCTAATTTTCCATGATGAGGAGCAAGAGATAGCATTTATTCTTTCTCTTGAGGTGAATTAGAGATGGTGGTTAACATCCCTTCTCTCTCTAGATCATGTCATTCCCTCTTTATTATCAATTTAAAACCTTATTTTTCTTTTTAGGGTATGATTCAGCTCTCCACAGTAATTATTTATTATTATCTGTAATATAATGCTGCCTAAAAGCTCCAAAAGAAGTCAAAGACCCGATGTGCAAATACATAGTAAGAGACAGTTCCTGCCTTGTAAACCTTATACTCTAAATAGGAGAGGGGAATTGAGAGCGGCAGAAGAAACAGGCAAAAAGAGAGGTGATTTACTTGTAACATGTGGCACATTAGGAGCCAGAAATGGAGGCCAGTCATCTTGACTCCCAAGGCAGTAATATCTCCTGTGAGTCTTGCTGCCAGTTTCCGAGGAAGGGTCAGCTGTAAGTCTACATGAAGTCTCTATAAATCTCTATAATCTAGTATATAATTTAAACAAAAATTCTACAGTGAGTTACAGCCCTAAGGAAACAAAGAAGTAGATCTTTTATTTGCACCATTATTAGCTTGCTGGGTTGGGACCTCTTCTTCTACATACTTTACTGTGTTTTCCCAATTTTAACTCATTCTGAATCCATTATTTGCTAAATTAATATAAATATCCACGGGCTACATGCATAATTCCCGATTACATTTAATTCAGAAAATATAAACTGAGGAATTATCAACCCCTTCATGAAAATGGTTCCTTTATTTTAGGATTTGAGCCTACGTCAGCTCCAGCTCCCTCAGTCCCTGCGTGGCAGGGCCGATCGATTGGTACGACCAAGCTCAGGCTGGTGGAGTTTTCAGCTTTCCTTGAACAGCAGAGGGATCCTGAATCAGTAAGTGTTGCCCTCGTGTTTGCTAATCTTCAGCTCTTCTCTGTTGCTCCCCACCCTCTGAGGATGCTTTCCAGGGTTAAGCCTGATGGAATACACCTGGTGTTTCTGCATTCGCTACTGCTCAGTGTAATATTCCTTTCACTGTAGTACTGTATTTTCCTTTCTTGCCCACTTTTTCCCCATTTGCAGAAATGAGAGGTCTCTTTGAAAGCAGGTGTGGTTTGCTGTGGCGCCTGTCTCACTGTTGACCCAGTTTAGCAGTTATGCCAAATTGCATTGTGTTTTTTGTAATAGTTCAGTACTTTAAGTTAAAGCCTAATCTATTTCCTAACAGAAACAAAATTAGAGGACTCGCATAGAAACTACGCTTATTATTTTAAATATCTGACATTTGGGATAGCCTCTGAGTATCAGGATTGTCCCTTTTGCTTCCAGCCTCCCAAGCTTGTGCCATTTAACTGTATCACTTTTTTTTTTTTTTAATTGAGGTTACCTATCTAAATGTCCAGTCATTCAGTCTTCCTTGATCTTTAATTGTGTCTTAGGGTCCAGACCAAGGTTTGGATTTTTTTTTTTTTATTTTTTTAGGAAGGTTTTGGTTTTCTTTTGATTTTTAGTCTGCATACTATACCTGCAAGGGTAGTTTATGAAGTTGGCTGTAATGTTTCATTTACTCCAGTTAGCCTTGAACCATGATATTAATCATCATATATTTACCACGAACATTTGTTAGGAGCCTAGCACTGTTTCTACTGCATTGCAAATAAATCAAAAGAGCTTCTTTCAGCTTTAACCTGAGAATCTTTACTGAGATAATTTCTGAAAAGTAAATACTGTCCTGAATGGGTGATACAGACAGGCCATTCTTGTTCAGATTCCTGATAAAATACAGTAGCTTGGAGCAGAGAGAAGCTATCACTTGCTATTTATAATTCAGCACTGGAAACCATAGCATTTATGGGCTCTGGCCAGGGGTGTTATCCAGGGAGTGTTTACCCTGCATAATGGAGTTTGGAGACATAGCCCAGAAACCTTACAACAGAGGAATGCTCGTGGTGGAGAAAGATCCCAGTGAAAATATACCATATCTCAGCTATTCATATACTAAATATGTGGCAGTGTGTTGGTTTGCTAAATACCACGTTTTGCCTGGTTGAATTAACTTTGAGGGAGGAAATGCTTGGTAGCAGGTACAGTTATCTCAGCACTTACCTGACTGTTAGATACTGAATGGTTTCCCTGGGATCCCTCTGCCTTCCCATGGCCCTGATTCCCATGCTCTCCCAGCAATTCTGGCTCTGGTGGGCTAAAACTTCATCTTAGTGTCCTCCAGACTAATCTGCAGCTGGAATGCCTTCTCCATCCCCAGCCCCGAGTACATCCAGACGGTGTTTTGTATTTCTGATGCAGAAACACAACATCCAAGTTTTCTCATCAGGCAGCCTTATTGATACACAGCTTTTGGAGTCCTTGGCTTGCTGACCCCATGTAACATGTCCTGCTGATTTATGGGCTCTGCCATATCCAGATTGCTGCATGCCAGGATGTTATGTGTGTGCCTCGAGGTTATCGGGAAAACAGGATGTGGCCATGTAATGCTCAGCATTACTGTGCTGTATGTCAATGAAATGGCATTTCAGTGTATTTTGATTTACTGTTTTGCCAGTATACCACCTAATAATCCTTTTTCCATAGGTTTTTATAATGCAAAACTATTTGCAAAACCCATGGTCTTATATGCTGTAGAGCCTCTGTATATCTGTGTGGCTTTACGTAAAAGAGAGTGAATGAGAGTTCAGCAACAAACAAACTTTTATGTCTTTCCCTCTAAGAAAAACTCCCCTCAAACGAACTGTGGTCTTAACAGGTAACATGTGGTTGCCCGTCACACCGCTGGTGTCTGCGACATGAAACCAGCTGAGTGACGTGAGTATATTTGCAATGTGACTGACAGACCAAAATTGAGGAGAAGGTGCTGCTTTGGCAGGAGAAGGAGCCGTGGGTCCCACTCCACTGTGGTGGCGTGGCTCAGAGCTGGTTGTGCTCATGCACAGTGTGTGGGCCGGCAGCTTGGGAACGTGTTGGGGCTCTCGTTTTTCAGGCAGGTGCAGGCTCTGGGGAATGCAACACATCCACTTGCATTGCAGAGAAAGAGTGGAGGCCTGAATAGAAACATGGTTACCCAGGACAGCCCCGTAAATACTGTAAAGCCTTTTTTGGAGTGAACTAATATTATTTGGAATTCCTGAGGGTGCAGCGAGGCCCACTGGAGCTTGTCCCAGCTTGCGAGCATACTGCTGAGAAACCTATATTTTAAATGCAGAGCATTTATGCAGGACATTTACTAGAGAAAAAAGAGCATCAAACTACCCAGACTTGTTTTTAAAAAAAGTTACTCGCATGCTGTAACATTGCAAAAATGAGACATAAAGAAAAGTCAATTCCTAGTCATGCATTAATCCCAATTTAGATCATTCTTTACACCCATGCTGCAAGTGCAGTGGGGCAGCGCTGTGCGAGGGCTACATGGGGACAGGCTGGACCAGCTGGGCGGGCGCCATGGGGAGCTGAGGGATGAGACCCTGTGGGCAGTGTGTCACTGCCGCTGCCTGGCAAGGGGGAGTAAGGAGAAGGGGAAGCATTGTTTAGATTAAATTAAGTAAATTTGATTATTTGGATGTTAAACAAGGGCATAGAAAAAAAACCCAAGGCAGTGTGACCAGTTCCCAAGGCAAGTGCAGAAGGGCACTTGCTGGAGAGGCACTGGGCAGAGGCGCTGGTGCACGCCTGTCTGCAGGGACAGCTCGGAGGGGCCCTTCCTCCTGCCAGCCTTCCCCATCCCCAGTGCACAGACTTTTCCAGCAAGCACCAAAAGTCCTCCTTGGAGATGAGAGCCAACACCCAGCCTCGTTTAGTGCTGTTGAAGAAAATATGAATTCTGCCTGTGGTTTTGTACATCTTCCTTCGTGTTGGTGCAACATTTTATTGCAGATATGGTTTGAGCAGCATAGAAAAGATGGGCTTTTATTACTTTTTAAATAACAAAATCAGCAAGCCAGGCAAGATGTGTGTTTTCCACAATGTGCATATGAAGTCGTGTTTTTTCCACAGTGTGCATATGAATTCGTGTAGGCATGTGCTGTGGTTGCAGCATCTCCTGTACGCCTTTGTGCCTTTGCTGACCTCAGAAACGAATATATGTATACACTGCTACATGAGAGCCGTGTAAGAGTTCTCACCTATTTTCTGAAAAATGATAGGTATATGTTCATTACACTTCTGACTTTTTACAGAAAATGACATAAAGTATTATTTTGATCAAATGGGTTTCCAACACTTTATTAAAAAAAAAAAAAAAGATGACTATTCCTCCATCCTAACCCAAAACCAGGCCAGAAAGCGTCATAGTAGTGGGGGGCAAATAGACCAATTCCACCTTAAAGTGTAACCTGGAAGTTTACTGAAAAAGGCTTATTTGACATGGCACCTGGGGCCAGGACTCAGTGATCCTGGGAGGCCCCTTGCAGTCTATATTCCTGTACAGCAATTAGAAATTTAAGTTTGTCTGCCCATGGTGACTCCCAGCGACTTCAATGGGGCTGTGCATGGACACAAAGGTCCACCCACGGGGAATTCATTGTAGGAGTGGGGCCTTAAACATTTCTGGGGTTCTTCCAATGGCAATTGGTGTTTAAAAGTACAAAAGCCCCTCAATGTCAGGCAGTTATGTTAATTTAGAGTGGGAATTCTGGTGGGTCGGAAATGTGCTCCATAGAGTCCTGTCACTTGTGGAGGGCTGTTCACTTTTTTCCCTTGCCTAGGCACAAAATTGTTCCATTTACAGAAGAAAAAATTATAGAAAGGAAACAATAAGTAACTCTCACTGTAACTCTGCATGGCAGAAGATAGTCTGGGAGACATAAGATGGCACAGTTGCAAAATCTTAGAATACCTACTCTGCAGTTAAGGATGGGTAAAATTACTTCTCCTTTTACATGAAAATCAATTCCGTTTACAAATGTCAAGCTGTATTTTCCTTTTGTGGCATTTTGTGCTCAAGTATAATTCCTAAATGTTGCATAGAAGCTGCCCTCATAGGTCCAAGCATCAGCGTTTTAGTTACTTTTCGTTATTGCCTACCCTATGTAACTATATTCTCAACAGATTAACAAGTTTATGTACCCATCTGTTGCTTTCAAGACAGGTTTTCCTTAATGGGGGCTTTCCATTTTTGCTGTAGTGGTTCTGTGAAAGTTCAGGACAAATGCTTAAACCAAGTAATCCCATGTTCCCTAACAGACATAAACTGAGTAGGCAAGCAGATTAGAAGGGATCTAAGCAATTGACTGTTACACAAGTAGCTATAAAATTCAAAGACTATAACACTGAAATGATAATAATTTGAATTATTTTATTTTCACATATATATATATGTATATTCAAGCTTGCTTTCCAATCAGGAAAAAAATCCTACCACCACCCAACAATAAAAGCCTTTTCTTCTCTTCCTCTTCAAGTTTTCTCACTCTTGCTGCCACATTCATTTTTGACTGTGAGCACTTCAGACAGCTTTACATCTAAAATATCTATATAGGGCTATAAAGAACAGGGCTGATGGGCATTTTCAGTATTAATCCACCTATCCAAACTGTCAGATTGTGTTAGGTTCAAATTTCAAAATGTATTTTAAAAAGTAGTGAAGATATAAAATATTCTTTATGTTTTAATTCGGGTTTTATTGTTGTTGTAAAAGGGCTTTGTGAGCCCAGGGAGAATTGTGCCTGAGAACCAGAAAGTGAAAGCAATTGCTCAAGGGCCGTAAAAACAGCCTGCCATCATTAGCCAAATGCAGTAAAATTCACCAAAGTTAATCAAACCACCTAAGTGATGAAAAATAAATGAGATCTTTTCAAAAGAAGCCTTCCATCTTTGAACAATATCCATTGTTACAAGCATTGTTTTTCTTTTCCGTATTCCCTGTAAACAGTATAAAAAGCAGT